CCGGGCGCACCTCCCGGTTTCCAAGGACGCCGCTAGGCCCGCCCTCACCTGTGGCCTCTGCTTGTGCTGTGCCTGGGTCTGTGTCTGTGTCTGCTCCCAGCTTCCCCGGGCTCGGTTGGTGCCTACCGATGTCATCATTTACAGTATATACAAATAACAGTATTTACAAGGCAGAAATCTGCAAATTAAAAAAAAAAAGGAAAGAGGCGTTAAAACGTTAAAGGGTTTTCTTCGCCAGCCGTTAACGTAAAAAGATCAGGTGCTCTACAGGTAATCCTTCGACTTAAAACAACTGCAATTTAGCCACCAAATTTCCACTGCTAGGAGAGGAAATCCTGCCTCGTTTTACGACCTTGCTGGCCCCAGTTGTTAAGGGAATCAGTAGGCCGCAAAAGGAGATTGCGTCTCTCTCTCTCTCACACACACACACTATTGCAACCGTCATAAATACGAGTCAGTTGCCAGGCGTTCTGAATTTGGATCATGTGACCGTGTGTGTGTGTGTGTGTGTGTCGCAACAGTCGTTAAGTGTGAAAATGGTCCGAAGTCACTTGTTCAGTGCCGTTGTTTACAGTTGCTAAAGGAATGGTAGTAAGCCAAGGACCATTTTTTATTTTCGGCTAATTTATAGCACTTGCTTCAGAACAACTGAAAGAATCACTAGTTAAATCTATCCTATAGATTGTGTAGCCTTCACTGCAACAGCCGAACTCTGCAAACACAACCTGCTTTACTGGCTAACAATTCCGACAAGATGCGAAGGTGATCCAGGAGCCCGGGCTTTTAATTTTATTTCCCCCCCCCCTCTTCATCCTCTCTGGCTTCACCCCAAACTCTACACAACTGACTTCAATTCCTAGCCGTTCAACTCCAGTTGTTTAAAAAAAAAAAAACAACACCCGATAAACCTTTTCCTAAGTGAAGTTTCCATGACTAACGGAAAGTTATAGAGTTGTGTTGCAACAAGATGGATCCCTTTCTGTTAGAAAAGGAACAGCAACTGTTCTCCACCGTAGCTGGACTTAATTTCTCATTTTTAGCATCTCTCTGGAGCATCAGGATTTCCTGGTCCCACATCGAAATCCACCATGGCTTCCAGAGAATCAAAGGTGGATTTATAAAATCACAAATCAGGAAAGGACGGAAGTTCTTCGGGGAAAACCCAAAGGTAGCTGTGAAACTTAAGTGGGATGTTGGGAATTCCGAGTCAGGATGGGGAAGTTTGTTCAAAACCTCCTAGCTTTGCAGATGCATTTAGCCCAGGGCACAGAGTGTGGAAATCCAGTATGCAGAAGATCGCTCGCAAGAGGGAGATCGGAAACCAAAACTTAGGAGGCCTTGGGTTTTTTTAGCCTGGGCAGCAAGCAAACACACACACACAAACACACACAGGTGGGAGAAAGAAAGTGATGCAACAAGATTTGTGTGTTTTGTCTCCTGGCTCAGAAATAAGAGCCCTCATCTCTGGAGAGACAAGGGGAAGATAACGATAACTGGGTCTTGTCAAGATAAAGGCACTTTTATTTTTAAGGGAAGTGTGGGATGTGAAATGTATGTTTGGAAAGGAAAATCTCTCTCCGGTGTCATTTATGCCACACCTGGCCTTCTTATAATCAGAATGGGAAAAAAAAGCCAACACAGTTCTAGGCTGAATCAACAGAGGGACAGAATCAAGATCAAGTGAAGTGTGAATACTACTTTATAAGGCCTTGGGAAGGCCACACTTGGAATACGGCATCCAATTGTGGTCGCCACGATGTAAAAAAGATGTGGAGCTTCTGGAAAGAGTGCAGAGAAGAGCAAGAAAGAGGATNTCTATCCATCCATCCACCCATCCCTCTTTCTCTTTCTCTCTTTGCTATCTATCCATCCACCCGCTTTCTCTATCCATCCCTCTTTCTTTCTTTCTCACTTTGTCTATCCATCCATCCCTTTCTTTCTCAGTCTATCCATCCATCCATCCCTTTCTTTCTCACTTTGTCTATCCATCCACCCCTCATTCTCTATCCATCCACCCATCCCATCTCCTTTCTTGCTTTCTCTATCCATTCATCCACCCACCCCTCGCTCTCTATCCATCCATCCATCCATCCCTCTTTGCTTGCTTTCTCTATCCATCCATCCACCCATCTCTCGCTTTCTTTCTATCCATCCATCCATCCACCCATTCCACTTTCTCCTTCTCACTTTCTCCATCTATCCACTCATTTCTTTCTCGCTCGATGCATCCATCCGTCCATCCCTCTTTTTCTTTTTCTCTATCCATCCACCCACCCACCCAATTTCTAGAGCTTATCCACCTCAGAGGGCGGCATCCCCGTGGCCGCAGGATCAAAATCCAGACGCTCGGCAAACTGACTCATATTTACGACGGTTGGGAGTGTCACAGGGCCATGTGATCTCCCCTTCGGAGGAGCCAAATCAACGGGAAAGCCAGAATCACTTTAACAACCGTGTGACTAACGGAACAACTGAAAGGAATTCACTGAAAGTCCGTGGCGAGAAAGGGCGAAAAAAGGGGCAAAACTCACTTAACCGTGAGTTGTCACTTGCCAGGCGCCTGAATTTTGATCAGGGGACCATGCTGCACCAGTCAAGTCATATTTTTCTTCCTCGGCGCCGTTGGAACTCTGAACAGTCATTAAATGAACTGTTGTAAGCGGAGAGCTACCTATATTATTCAAAAATGTACAACCCACAATTAAACGAGCCAAGGCGTTTTCAGCAACCGCTCCGCCCTGATGGGGTTTTGTACGTCACGCTGAGCCGGAACGGAATGTTTCTCCCCTCCGCCGGACCACCCAACCAATCAGCCACAGCCCAGCTGAGCCTCATGCCTACCGTGTCTGGGTTCCCCTCCAACAGCACGTTGATGGCTCTGTTGACATCTCCGTTGCAGTCGTGAAGGGCAATCACACACTCGTCCTGATTCTTCCCTGTGATGTCGATCAGCTGCGGAAGGAAAAAAGGAAATTACGAGAACGGGTCTCCGGCAATGAAACAAATAGAAATAGAAAACAAACAGGGATAAGAGAGAATTATTTGTAGCTCAGGGTGGAACCCAAGAAGGGGGGGATTTGATTTAAATCACCAGTAAAAAGGCTTTAAATTTAAATCATAATTTTTAAAGAGCAGCTATCATATGTGCTGTGAAATAGTGTCAATGCATCAATGCAGTTCATGTTGTCTTGAATGATTTACCAAAAATGTAAATATTGCAAGACTATACAGCCTCATGCTACATAACTAAAGCTCCATTTCATGCTGAATAAACTAATTATTAATGTATCTTAAGTAGAAAACTATCTTAAGATACTTATTCCAAAAGCGTTTAAAATAAATTTGATAAAAATCAGAAACATCGAATTTAAATTTTGAAAAATCCAATTTAAATTTTAAAAATCTGATTTTTTTATTTTTTTAAAAAAAAATCATAGTTTTTTTTATCCACCCTGAACCAAAGCAGCTTCGCTCCCTCTCAAGTCATGAACCACAAACAGTTAATTTCCTGAAGCACTGCTGTTCCTAGTTTTTTACTCTATTTTTATCTCAAATATCCTTCATCCTTTTTCAGAAAACGACTTGCTTTTCTGGTTTACGGTTTTTACTGAGTTGTAAAATAAGATACACGATACGAAAGTAAATAGGAAAACGGTGAGGAGGAAGAGGGGGAAGATAAGAACAAAAGGAACATTGACTTCCGACTCAGTCTGGAGCAGTAAAATAAGGCATTAACATCAAATCACAGATTTTTTTTTTCCATAATAATATGAACAAGCCATTTCTATAAAGACCTATCAATCTAACTGGTAGAACCCAAAATCAAAGTTTCATTCTTTTCCACTTCAAGCACAAAGTTCAGAAGCCGTCCCCATGTGGAAACAAAAGTACTTTAGTCTTTTTTTTAAATCAAAGTAGTCAATTTTGCCATTTCAACCAACCCTATCAACTTCTGCACCCATTCGTCCTCGTGCTGCTGTCAAAGAATGGATGGATGGATTTCCTGACGGGGACAACAATTAACCAGTGGAACAGCTTGCCACCAGAAGTCGTGGGTGCTCCGTCACTGGAGGTTTTCAAGATGAGATTGTCTGAAATGGCATGGGGGTCTCCTGCTTGGACAGGGAGTTGGGACTAGATGGCCTCCAAGGTTCCTTCTATTCTTCTGAGGCCAAAGGACTTACTTGTTTCACTTTCTCCTCAAAGTCAGCATCGTTGTGGTCCGAGATCATTTGGGCAAGCCGAATTTGCTCCGCAGTGGCCTGGGATGAGAGAGACCCAGAAAGGGAAAAATGAGAAGCTCGCATTCCCAAAAGGGGGGGGAGAATGGAGAGACAGGTAAGTAAGTTGACATTGTTCAGGTAAGGTGCCCTAAATCAGGGGTCACCAATCTTTCGGACCACTGAATTCATAATTTAAAATCCCGCGGACCACTAATACGATCTGCCTAATGACCGGCTGGGTGGGCGTGGCAGGTGGTCATGTGACTGGATGGGCGTGGTCAACTCAATGTCACTCACATGGGGGGGGGACTCGCTGGCCTCTACTCACCCCTCCCCTCCCAGCCCCTCCTAAGCCCCGCCTTAGGGAAGAAAGCTAGGCGAGTGACTTTGGGCCAATCGCCATTCAAGTCCCCTTTTAGGCATGAAAGTCCCCTTGGGTGACTTTGGGCCAATCGCCAGGAGACTGGGAGTTCTAGTCCTGCCTTAAGGCATGAAAGCTGATTGGGTGACTTTGGGCCAATCACCAGGAGATNAGGGGACTGGAGACTAAAACATATGAAGAACGGTTGCAGGAACTGGGTATGTCTAGTTTAGGGGACACATGATAGCAGTGTTCCAATATCTCAGGGCCTGCACCAAAGAAGAGGGAGTCAAGCTATTCTCCAAAGCACCTGAGGGTAGGACAAGAAGCAATGGGTGGAAACTAATCAAGGAACGTGTGCTAGTCTTCCCCAATCGAATTTCTAGAATACTTTACTCCGTGTTCAATGCAACCTACGCTGTGGTTGCAATATTATTATCTCCCATGTTATTCCCGAAAGAGGATAATTCTCGGATCGCAACTTCCATCCAGGGAAAGCAAACTTCTAAACATTTCACAGGCCAGAGATAATTGTCGATTTGCCGACTATGATCTTCAAACAGCAGCGTGAAAGCAGGAATTTCCTCTGTTTAACAAGTTCAGAAGAAGAAGAAAAACGTGGCATCTTGGGCTTGCAGAGAGAGGCTGGATGAACAGGGCCTTTAAAATAAATAAATACACAGCACTGTTTTCAACACAAGTTTGTAGTTCCTTGCCCATCCACCTGGAAGTTAAGAAGGAACCCAAAAGAAGAGCAAGTCCAACTGAAAAACTAAGAACACAAAACTGCAGATTATTGAAATAGGCAAGGATTCACGGTTACATTTCGTTAGGAAAAGTATACCGCTTACCACACACACACATAAAAAACCCTCAAGCCCCCCACCCTCCCTCCAAATTCTTTTCATTTCTTTTGGGACCTAAGGAGGCAGCTCTGTAATGATTGAGAAGACTGGAGCATCGTTCCTGAGAGAAATTATTAGGGGGAGATTTTGCTTGAAAGGATGTCCTTGGGAAAAGAATGATGCCAGGAAAAGTTAAGGAGTCAGAATGTCAACAGGGGTTTTAGGCCTTTTAAAAACAAAAACAAAAAGGTGGAGGGGGAAGAACATAGCAGAACTCATGGGATGAGTAAGAACAGGAGGAGCAGTGAATATTTTGGAAGGACGAAAAGACGTATCTAACTGTGGCATTTTTTTGCCCACCCACCGAGAAATTGTGCTGACTTACAGCCGTTGTGAAACTCCCACAATTGTGGCCTTCCTGGCTGGGAAGAGACCCAAGCTGTTTATTTGGAGACAAAGCTATTTAAGAATAGATCACAAAATAGTGACGACTTCAGAGAAGGAAACACAGCAATTTCTTACTGTGACGAAGTCCCCAGGTGAAGTCACTCCAAGGTGACGCAGAACACACAAACACACACACACACACACACAAACAAACAGATTTTGTTCATTTAAGGGAAACTGAAAGGGGAAGAGAGATCCAGGATTCTGCAGAAGGAAGGAGATCTGGGGTAAATTCCAGAATTACAGAGAGCTGGGAAGCGTCTGGGAAAGTGAATCCTAAGGAGAATGGTCATTGCCAGCTTTGTAAGAAAGGAAATCAAACGATCTAAAACTTTAACTTTCAATGCTTCTGCATTCCTTTTTTTCTCTCTCTCTGCAAAAGCGGGCATTTAAAAACTTCCAAGGCTCCTAGGAGAACCTTCCAGCAAAACTTCTGGCCCAGCAGATCCACAGAACACCGGGATCAAAGAGATCACTGGGAAACAAATGGGCTTCCTTTAGCAGGCAGCTTGGCCTGGAGTCAGGCTGGATTTGAACCCGGCTCAGCTGCAAAAACAACATTGCCGGGCAGCAATTCTTCATACGGTGGGAGGATAACAAAGGAACACCCTCCTTGCCTGCTGAAAAAAGAGCAGGAGGAACCGCACACTTCCAAGATTGAAGAATCTTCAAATACATTTTTAAAAGGATTAAAAAGCAAGATGGAGATATGATGGAAAGGGGGCAGGAAGTGAGAAGGAAATCGAGACCCTGGTCTTATGCAAAAGATCCCCCCCCCCCTGCACAGAAGAAGGAGGGTGAAGGGATCACTTGAGAGTAGGTTTTTAGGAAATCTCTGACTTTTTAGAGGAAGTAAATTGAGACCACCATCTTAGGATCTCCCTGCATGGAAAAGGAAGAGGGAGAGAGGGAGAGAGAGAGGGAGGGAGGGAGAGAGGGAGAGAGAGAGGGAGAGAGAGAGAGAGAGAGAGAGAGAGAGAGAGAGATCACTTTTGGTTTTGGCAAAGG